CAGAACCAGGAATCTTTGTAGGCTATAGCATGGTGTCCAAAGCCTACAAGATCTATCAACCTCACACAAAGAAGATGGTGATTAGTAGAGACGTTAAATTTTTGGAGGATGAGGAGTGGGACTGGACAGAAGAAGCAGAGGTGAAGCAACAAGAAGTCTCTCTGGAGCTTGATGAACTAGTTGATGATGCACCAGTGAGAGGGACTAGACTACTGACTGAGGTGTATGAAAGAAGCAACGTAGCTGTGTTGTGAGTAGTATGTATTTACTTTTTTCGTAGTCCATATATACATTTGAAATTTCATGTGCCCAAAAATAAGAGTTCAAACATGAAAATAGAAAATCAACTGCATGGTTTTCTTAAGGTTTGGTAAACAAAAGATATAGATAATTAGTTTTTGAGGTTTGGGTAGTGTTCTTTTTATCAAATTTTCTCTAATATTTATCCTCATTCCTAAATTATTGATAAGTAAATATTTCTCTAATATTAATTCTTTTTCATTTATTTTGTTGGTGAATGAAGATTATTTTTTAATCTATTGTGAAGGTCTTCAAACTACCAGCAACACAGTAGAAAAAAACATAATAAAATCATTTATCTAGAGTTTCAATCAATTGAGTCTATCCCTTTTCTCAATACTTGTTCTTTTTAAGCTAGAGAGTTTATTTCATTTATTCTTAATAATTCAAATCTTTGGTAATACATATCTATTAGTACGACGATAGGAGTGATATACGAGTGTTAAGCGAGAATTTTGTAAAAATATGTTCAAACAAGCACTTGAAATTCTTTTTAAAAAATATATCATATTTACAAAATCATAATCACACGGCTATGTTAATATTTTGCAACTATGGCAATGTTATTGTCACCCATTTTCCAAAATATATTACCCAAAGTACTATATATATATACAATAAAATAACATGACTTATTCGGATGCGTCGTATCCATGTGTCACATATTTATTGGGACTTTGGAATTCATAATTATCGTACCTACGACTATGAAAAAAGTTTTAGAAACTACGAAAATTTGTAGATACCTTTTCATTCACTATCTGCCATGTATTTGGTCAATTCACCACATCCCCATTTCTCTCTCAAATTTGCTCTCATTGTTCTATGAGTGAGTCTTGTTTTGGTGATTTCTCCCTTTAAGAATTAACTTTGAAAGAGGATTACAGCCAAAGCATTTCCTCTCTTTGGAGCCAATCAAACTGATCTCTTTCTTCTTCTTCAGAAGTTTGAGTAGGTAATAGGACGTTGGTTTACTTAATCCTCTTTCTCCATTTAACTTCTCTTCTATTTATGTTTCTCATTCACCAATCCGAGTTTAGTTCAAAAATATCATAAAGATAAACGATATCACTCACACACACACACACATATATATATATTCCTTTTTCACTCGCCAGAGTTCTAAGATAAATGATATCCACTTTTTTATATATACACACTCATTAATTATTCTCTCTTCCTAGAAGTGAATTACCAAAACAGAAGGAGAAATATAAA